CTTGTAATCACATATGAGCATTCAAGCACATGTAGCTCTATGCCTGGCACGCCAAAAGCTACAGTACATAGAGTATTTTTGAGGCAGATTTCAGCGTTTTGGCTATAGACTGCAATGGGAATGTCTTTAAAGTGATTCTAAAGGTTGTAATTTAAAAAAAAAAAAAAAAAAATGAACATGGTATAATTACCTGCTCTGTGCAATGGTTTTGCACAGAACAGCTCTGATGAACATCATTTTGGTTCTCCTACCAGCGGTCCTGGCTCCTCAAACCCCCCCATCCCCTGCCAAATGCCTCTTGTCATGGGAGACCTCGAGCAGGCACACTCCTGTGAATGGACATTGCTGTGACTCATGCACATCACTGGATCGACATGGGGCTCAGGTAAGTATAACGGGGCTGGGGGAGCTGCTCCCAAAAGTTTTTTTTTTTTTTTTTTTTTTTTGTGTTTTTTTTTTTCTCTGTTAATGTGGAGAATGCCTTAAGGTAAAAAACCTTCTGCCTTTTAAAGACACTTGCCTGCCGCCCCATAGCAGACGTACTGCTACAAGTCAGCTTCGCTGTGCAAAATCACATAAATATAGGTGATCTTGCATTTCGTGCTGCTGATCGTGCTACTATTGGCTCCTAAGGATGTTCATCACTGGGACCTGGCCAGCACTCGGTGACCATCCGCGAAGCTGAGAGGGGAGAGATCAGTGTGTAAACGACACAGATCTCTCTCCTGTCAGCATGGACGTCCTGCTTTCTATCGCTGCACAGTAGAGAGATAGAAGCAGCAGGTCCGCTTAGGGAGTGTTTTTATTGTGTGCTGTGTACCGTTTTACTAACACACAGTTAACCCTTTGATCACCCCAGATGTTAACCTGTTCCTGCCCAGTGTCATTAGTATAGTGTCCGTGCTTTTTATTAGCACTGAAAACTGTATTGGTGTCACTGGAGATGTCAGTGGCAGTCAGTTCCCACCCAGTGTGAGACTGCCTGCTATAAGTTGCTGATCGCCGCCATACTAGTATAAAAAATACATAAAAATTCTACTGTGTATATATACCACCATTTGTAGATGCTATAACTTTTCACGTAAACCAATTCATATACACTTATTGGGATTTTTTTTTTCCAATAGCAAAGACATGTAGCAGAATACATTTTGGCCTAAATTTATGAAGAATTTTTTTTATGGATAGGTTTTATAGCCAAAAGTTAAAAAAATATATATATAAAATTTTATTACTTTTTTTTTTTTTTTTTCTTTAAATTGTCAGTATTTTTCTGTTTTTATAGCACAAGAAATAAAAACTGCAGAGGTGATCAAATACCACTGAAAGTAAGCTCTATTTGTGGGGGGAAAAAAAGGACCTAAATTTCATTTATGTACAGCGTTGCATGACTGCTCAATTGTCAGTTAAAGTAACAAAGCGCTGTATCACAAACAAATGACCTGGTCAGGAAAGGGGGTAAATCTTCTGGAGGCCAAGAGGTTAACCACCCAAATCAAGTGGTTTTGAACTTTTTTGGGCTAGATTCTGCCATAATTTAGGTTCTATGCATATTCTAGCTTGGTTTCATGGTGGATAGACAAAATTTTATATACTTTTTTTTTTTTTTTTTCTTTCTTCTCTAGTCTGTTACCATAGGAAGTGTTTTTGTCTTGTAAAACGTTTTGTACTATAGCTCTGCTGGGTAATAGGCTTCTTTGGATTATCATGCATACCTATAATTGCTGCTGTCACTTGTAGACAGAAAAGGCAGAAGAGGAAATCTTTTACTAACATTTGATTTTTTTGCCCCGTTCACACAGACTGAATTTACATGCACTTTCACGGGGAATAGCTATACAAATTCTTTATGAATAAACCCCCGTGTGTGATTTTTTTTTTTTTTTTTTTTTTTTTTTTTTTTTTTTTTTTTTTTTAATAATGGACATGTACTGCCAGTATTCTATGAAAGAATAGAAATGTTCACTGCTAGATTGATAATGTAGAATAATTCCCCAAAATGTTACTATTTAGGTAAATTAATTTAAAACTGTTTAAGATATTGTTGCTGTGTATGTTTTTAATATCTTTTGGTTTGAATAGCAGTTGTGGAGTGTAAAAACTTTTGGGAAGTGGTTAATGATATTCTGTAGATAAAATGTTGTCTTCTCCATCATTCTTGGCTTTCTAATTGTCCTAGTGTCTTTCTTTTAGCACATTTATGAGCTTCAAAACGGATTCCTGAACCCTACAATTTCAGCATGTTTGTCAATCTACTATCAAAGCAGTGCGATTCACAGCGAAAGAAGTGGTTGCCTCTTGCCTATAGTGTGCAAGCCACTGGCACTTATGCCCAAACCAAGCTTGGCCATGGCTAGTGTTGGAAGGATGGCAATGATGGGTATCAGGGTTTCATGGAACCTTAGGATTCCTCCAGAGGTTTCTAGGGGTTGAGCAATTTCTGACTCTCAGATAAGTTCCCACTGATACCATTTGATCTTTTTAGATATCTGTAAGGGTGTAATTCTTCCCAAAGCCCAAAAGTGTAAGGGGCATTCTCCCCACTGACCATCACACTAATGTATCATGAGTTGTAGATATAGTAATTATTAGCAGGGGTTTCCTTCTGAGACTGGAAAGTTATTTTAAGGGTTCCTCTGTGTTGAAAAGATTGAGAGGCTAGAGTACAGTATAGAGCAGGGGTCTCCAAACTTTTTTAAACAAAGGGCCAGTTTACTGGCTGTCAGACTTTATGGGGGCCAGACCATGGCCATTGGGAGTAGAAATTGTCCTGAGTCATTGGGAGTAAACCATGCATCTTTGACATTAGGGGAGGAATAGCGCCCTATTCTTGGTGTAAGTTGGAGAAATAGTGATCGGTTATTGGTGTCAATGGGAAGAATAATGCCCCGTGGTTTGTTTAAGTGAGAGGAATAGTCACTGTTGTTGATATCAGTAGCAGGAATTATGCCCCCTTGTTGGTGTTAGCGGGAGGAATAGTGTCTTGTATCAGTGGCAGAAAAAGTGCCCCAAGGGCAAGCAAGCCCCTGGGCCATAGTTTGGAGACCACTGGTATAGAACATAAGGGTGTGGTATCCAAGGCTAGACAGTTGTCTTGATAAACTGGCAGTCTACCCAAAATTGATATGAAAGTTTTTATTAGATAATGGAGACTTCAATCCCAATTTGTAGTTTTATTCAGGTGTTAAAAATAAAATCACAGTGCAAATAATAAGAAAAGTAACCTTTTCTTTGGCTCACTATTGGTTTCTTTTGTAAAGTACCTTGGCTGAAAAGTCTGTTCATGGTAGTAGTCTTTATTAATATTACAGTGGGGTGGTGGGTGTGTAAACTTGCCCTTGGGTTCTGATTTGTTCCTCTGGCTTTTGTCTGGAATCGGGATGGGAATCGCAAAATGCTACCATTTTTTAATACTGAAGTGGCTGTTGGGCCTTAGGGGAAGTGACATTGATCTTACACCAGTCTGCTGGCAATCGGGGCTTGAAGCTGAAGGGTCTGGGAAGTGTTTGGATCTCTAGGGCTCACATGCTTTTCCTGAGTTTGACATGCATCTAAAGCACCTGTAAACACAGGTTGGCTACATTTCATTTAACTGTAAATGAGCAGTATACATGGCAGTTTTGTATGACATGACTTGCATTGTGCTGTGTTTCTATGGATGCAGCATGTCCTACTGAGATGTGTTTGAACTGCAGGAAAAGCAGGTCAAATACAGCCTTATGTAGTCAAATGTTTGCATTTGAACAGAACGCCCATCAACATCAGGATTTAAAATTGTGATCTAATGTGAAATTGCTGGACATGTGCATGTGGGGGGGCATGGAAGCTGTGGGAGGACACCAGCCTTTTTGGGTGATCTGGCTTTGCAAGCCTCCTGGGCTCTGCAGGGAAAAAAATAAATATACTTCAAAACATTTTGTCTTGAGTGTACTTGTGTTAGTACTAGTCTGAGGAAGTCTTCATAGGGACTAGCGCCCCCTATCTCTCCATTAGAAGTATGTTCCTATACCTGAGTTTAGGCAATGGAGTCACCTTCTTAACAAGGGGCTATATATTTACATTTTGGTTGCAGGGGTGAACATTTCCTTTCAGGTTTATTACAACAGTATAGCAATTGTATGAACAGGCACATTTTTTTTTTTTAAATGACAGTATTGTCAGTGAAACCCCTTTGTGGGGCAGTACACATGTACAGAGTTCATTAATTTCCCAGAATATCTTATACTTTTTCAAATAAGTAGTTGTAACCTTTTAGCCTGTCCATATAAAATTTAAGTTTGCTTCTTCTTTTAGGTTGCCCTCACACTGAGCACAATTCAACTTAAATGTGCCCGAGTTCAGTTGCTCTTCCCTACTCCCCCCAACTGGTGATACACACACTGGGCTATAAGCAAGTGTTCCCAGACACATTTACATCATCACCTTCGCCAAGCAGACCACAGTGATGCCTGCTTCCATGCTCAGTGATCCATGGAATGCTCTGTGCTTGAGCATGGTTTGCACTCCCACTGAAGGAAACCAGACCACAAGTGAACCATTCCCAAAATGACTTCTTCCAAGTGGTTCTGGGCGTGGTATGCCTAATCGTATTGGGGCTTGGTTTAGAGCACTCGCCGTACACCAACAGTCAGACAAAGGAGATCAACCCGAGTTGGTCTTGTTTAAAACTGCCACTGTGGGTACATCCCTAAATAACTCTCACGTACTACCGCTTTAACGTGAAGCAATATAATTGTGCACTGCTAGAGTGAGACAGTATTAGTGAGAATGTAGAATTGTCCAATATTTTATTAATCAAGTATATGATGCAATTTTAATGTTTTTTTTTCGACTTTGTAATTTTTTTTTTCCATACCCATGTCATTACTAGTATGAATAGGAGCTGTGAAGAGCATAAGCAGTTTGTGGGAACTGGTTAATGGTGACATCCAGTATATACAACAGCCTTGTCTTCATCTCCATAATTCTTAGCATTTTATCTATCTGTGTCTTTCCTCTAGAACATGTCTGGGCTCCAAGACAGATCCCTTGTCCTTACACTTTAGCATGTTCACCGACATCCTGAAAAACCAGTGCAGTGACACGCAGCGTAAGAAGTGGTTGCCTCTTGCCAATAGTCTACAAGCCATTGGCACTTATGCCCAAACCGAACTTGGCCATGGTTAGTGTTTGTGTTGGAAGGCTGGCACTGATGGGTATTATGGGAGAACCAGGGAGACCTGCAGCTCTATTAAATCTGTACTTAGCACTGAGTTCAGTGTAGCACATGCGGCTGTGGTAGCTGCAACCAGGCAGGTGCCATTGTTTTTGTTTTTTTCTAAAGGGTCATTTCACCCATATTATTTTTTTTTTTTTTTTTTTCTAGTAGATAACAGAGACCCAAAGACCAGTTAGCTTTTATTTGCATCAGTTTAACAAAATACAACTTTTCAGTGTCTTGCTTTTGTGTGTCACAACTACAGTGGGGCAATTGGAATTACTTGCTGTCCCTGCAATACAGTCCAACTAGGCAGCCAGAATCTGAATTGATCCATTTGGCTCAGTGCTCTCATTTAGGACCATTGTTTAGGGTCGCTTGGCAGGGATACAAACTGCCCGCCAAGCCCCGTGTTACAACTGTAGCATGAACAGAACCAGAAGCTCTTCTCTTGGACAAAAGAGATGTTATCCCAACAGTTTAGGCAGATAATCTGAATGATGAACATTGAGTTTAACAATTTTCATCTACTGACCTAAAGAGATCCTGCCACCAACTTAAAAAATGCAGGCAAAATCACAGAAAAGTCAAATTTTGTTTTTTATTTTTTTTTATGTTTACTTGCAGTATTTTTTTATTTATTTTGCATAGCATTTTTTTACTTTTTAGGGTGTTTGACAGGAAAGGGCAAATTCCTAGCACAGCCCCCTCCTTTGTTTGCCATAGCGCTCTCCTCTTCTGGAAGTATCTATATATTGTCTGTGCTGGCCAGCTTCTCTGCCCCTCCCTTCACCATTCTGCATAACATTTTGTGTAGCCTCTAGGGGACCAGTAAAGAGGAATACTATATCTGTCTGCTAGGGCTACTGGCGACAGCATCTCCTTAAATTAAGTTGCTTCAGCAGATACAGAAATAAGTGATGGTATACTGCTAGTATACTGACACTGCTGTTGACCCATGTCTAAATCCATCATCACCTCCTTTCTTATTGCATGTCTAAACCTAACATGAGAACCTGTCACTGACCTAACCACACATCAGTGTATCTCTGCTGTTTTAACTATCTATCTACAAAGAAGGAATCATTCCTTACAACAATATCTGAATTATGTGTATTTTCTAATGCTAGAGACCGTGGTATAACCACAGCAGTCCACGTGATTGCTATGGGGCCTGGGATAGGAGGAGGGTCCCATTAAGGGGGCCATTAAAGTGACTGTAAACCCTTACCTTGTAAAACAACCCATTCAGTTTAAGATGAAAACGAAAGGCATAAAATTTGTGTATAGATATTCAAGAAAGGTATTTAATAAATGATCACATTCCCCGTTCTCAGCTGCACAGAGAGGCAAGGGAGGAGAAACAGCAGGGCATTGATCTTCCCAGTGATAGGCTGTGTAGAGGGGGCATATCACACCGCATAGGAATTTCACAGGAACCGCACCTCAGTCCTGCGCAATTCACATGCGCTTCAGCATGGTGTAATTTGAGTACATTCATTTTTAAGAATAAGTTCACAGTAATTTGGTGCTGGAAATGCAGTGATCCATGCATGTTTCCTGCACCGTATTCCAGTCTTACTGCCCTTGCAATGTGCTGTGGGTGTAAGTACAAAGGTAATGACACCCCAAACACAGGTCGCAGTGTAAACCGAGGCTGAATTGGCTCAAATCGCATTGCATCACGCCGTGACGTGCATTCATCTTTTTTGGAGCCGCACCACAATCCGATCGCATGCTTGTTTTGTACTGGTGCAGGCAAATGCACTGTATTTGCAGCCTGTGTTTGGGGTGACATTAACTTTTTTTGTATTGACTCCCACATCAGATTGCAGGGGCAGTGTGATTGGAATGCGGTGTGGGAAAATCTTACAGATTGCAGAGTTTTTTTAGACTGTATTAGTGTGAACGGCTTAAGGCGTTAGTGCAGACGTGTGGCATCCCTTGCCAGCCATCAGAAAAGTGATATATGCAGTGGATTGCTTTTCAGTGGGCCATTGACAGGCAGCTGTGAGGCAATATGTCACTGCCTGTTTTAGGCCTGAAAATGGCAAACCACCACGTTGCAACCTTTTGCGGCACAGCCCTATTCACTTGAATAGGGCACATTCAGCAGCAGTACTGCCCTCTGAAGCAATAGGGGGTGTACAGCCTTGAGCGACTGCTTTGTCTTTCTCTAGCTGAGTAGTCTAGGGGGCAGTAAAGCTTCAGCTCAACCACCTGTTTTTTTTTTACCACCCCCTGACTGCCCATGTGAATAAGCCCTAACAGTGCATGGTGCTTTGACTGCCAGCTAGGCTATGATAGATTAAATAACCTTCATTAATTTCATGCTTGCACTATTTGTTATGAAGTCTTCAAGCACAATACCCTGAGCCATCAATTGCAAGAGAGAACTAGGAATGTGTACCTGTGCGCTTTCCTAATTTTATTTATTTATATCAGGTACTTATATAGCGCTGTCAATTTACGGAACTTTATTATATATATATATATATATATATATATATATATATATATATATATATATATATATATATATATATATATATATATATAACATTCACATCAATCCCTCACCCTAAAGGTGTGTACAATCTAAGGTCCCTAACTCACATTCATACATACACCTATTAGGGCCAATTTAGACAGGATCCAATTCACCTACCAGCATGTCTTTGGAGTGTGGGAGGAAACCGGAGCACCCGGAGGAAACCCACGCAAGCACAGGGAGAACATGCAAACTCCATGCAGGAGGTGCCATGGTCGGGAATCAAACCCATGACCCATTTACTGCAAGGCAGACGTGCTAACCACTAAGCCACTGTTCCGCCCTTAGACCTTGCTGTCTGACAATGTGATCAAAGTTTTTCAGTCACAGAAGATTCATTGGGATGCTTGGTTGCATCAAGGTAGCTCATACTCGCAAAAACCCATCCTCTGTGAGAGAAGGGTTTTTTTTTTGGGGGGGAGGGGATTAGGAAAAATAGTAACATATACTTCTTGCATGATGATTTTTTTTTTTTTTTCCTGATTATTTTACAATTGAAATTGTTTGCATAATCCTGCAACACAGTTACTAATACAAACTTTGTTTTAAATGGTTAATCGACTATTTTCAAGGCTGCAGCACATGTTTACCTTGTTTTGGATTCTTGTTGATATGCGGACATTTCAGCCTTGAGAAATACACAGAATTCCTGTGACTGAAATACCTAAAATAAATTCTAATCTGGTTACGGTTTTAACCACATGTCATGGCTGAAACGTTTTGTATTATAACTGTACTGCCAAATCTGTACTTTGTCCTCCTCTTACTGATGAGGTCTAAGTTGTCCACCCATTGATGGACAATGTTGAGTCTACATCACTTTTTAGTAGGGTGCTAGATGATTGTGATTTGCATGTAAATTCAATCTATTTTTCACAAAAATCAGTTTACCATAATATTGTCTTTTTTTTCTTTCTCCTTTTTCTGCCTTTTTCTCTTTATGTAATCACATTTCCCTTCACCACAAAATTTTAACCCCTCTCCAAATCATCACCACTATTAATCCTCTGATTACATACCTCTCCTACCTTTACCTCCTGCCCCATCCCTCCTTCCGTCTCCCACAGCTTTGTACATCGGGGCCGTCCTGAGCCCCTTGATCTTCACTTGGGCATGTTCTTGCCCACTCTGCTAAGCCAGGCCACCCCCGAACAGCAGGACCGTTTCTTCATGCCTGCCTGGAACTTGGAGATCATTGGGACGTACGCCCAGACTGAAATGGGACATGGTAACTTTATTTTTTTTTATTTATTTTTTTTTTTTTTTACCAAAGGCTTATCTATTATCACTTTACAGTACAGTATACTGTAACCGCAACAAGATTCTAGCCTTGGAGTAAAGATAGTTTAGCAATAGGTGCCTTGCAGGTCTCTCTGGGAAGGGTCATTGCACTTTAATTTCATCGTTATTTTTGGGTGTTGTGTATAATTTTTACTTAATGATTCTTTTCTTTCTATTTCTTAAGGAACCCACCTCCGAGGACTGGAGACAACAGCCACCTATGACCCATCTACACAGGAGTTTATACTGAATAGCCCCACTGTGTCCTCTATCAAGTGGTGGCCTGGAGGGTGTAAGCAACTGCAAGAAGTAGAGATCATTGCATTCCCAATTTAGATTGGGAACATATTTAAAAAAAAAAAAATGCTGCATAAGGGGTTTAGAAGAAGGAAGGGCAACGTGTGCGTGTGTTGTATTTTGTTTTTTTTTTTTTTGTTTTTTTTTAACAAATCCTACTCGCCTAGGTGGCTAGATGCTGCATCTGTCCCCCTCTGGCTAAGACAGAACTGAGCAGTCAAAGACCGCTGATCTCTCCGTTCTCCATGAACTGATTGTCACCGCTCTCTGCTCTGCCTCCCAGCACTCACTGGCGCACTGGGCTGTGGAGGGAGAAGGAGCAGCTCGGCTCAGGCTGGATGGCTGACCTTAAAGTCAGGATCTTTTCCCAACCTGGACCAGCTGATCGACTTTAGCCTGCTGTCGGCTGAAAATGGGTCACAACAGTGCAGAATGAACTGCACTCCTGTGATCCACAGGAGAAGTACAGCCAAAAGAGCTGTAGAAAGAGTACTGTATATAGGCTTTTTTATTTTAGTGATGTGTCTCCTTTTAAAAGAAAAATGTCATGAGGATGGATTGCTGAGCTTTCTTTCTGGAAATGCTAGTGGTTTGGCAGTGATGCTGACAATATTGCCTTACTGACCTGCCTACTTGTCCATGACTTGCAAAGTACTAAAGTCAATGGGTCGGCACAAAAATTGTCAGAAGGAAATGCGCAATGGCAGCCTCCATTTTTCTCAAAGAACCAGTTATTTTAACTCTGCATTGAGCTTGAACCCTCTTTCGTGTAAAATCTTTTGATGCCAATTTACTATAAAAGAATATTATCTTTTAGTTATTCATTTTGCTTATGTGAGATTGTTTAAAGTAGTGGCTTTTCGCATTTGCTGAGCCTATTCTAATATTGTAAAAGTCACTGGGCATGAGCTAACCCTTGTACAGAAATATCACTCGAACAATGGATTGTCTTGCTATCAAGCTAGTGTAGGAGAAGTGTAGTGAAATATCTGCAGATAGCCCATCACTTGCCTTGGAGCTCCAGTCTTTATACCATTGCGGGTAAACTGTCTCATTACATTATGTGGATGATATTAAGTTCAACCCAATTTTGGATGAACAAATCCTTAACCTGACCTGGCCATACACTCAGCCAAATAAGACTGATCTGTACAGGAGCAAAATTATGTATTTTGCTTGGAACAGTTGATAGTAGCAGGCATTTTGCCTGATTTTTGGAGTATTTGAGCAGATTTCCTTGGCGAGGCAGCCTTAATAGACAGAACGTCAGGTTCTGTGAACAGATTGGTCAAAAACAGCTGTATACATCCAAAAATGCATGCAAAAATTGGCCCGCCTGTTGATTATGTACGTGGCAGCCCATCATCCTAAGCATTGATTACTGGGATAGCAGTCTTTCATTCTGTTTGAGATGCTGAAAGAGTTTGTAGCATTGACATGTTATGTCTTTACAGTGGGAAAGACATCAAATCATGCGGTAGTGTTGGCACAGCTCTATACCCAGGGGGACTGTAAAGGGCTTCATGCCTTCATCGTTCCTATTCGCCAAATGGGTACCCATGAACCATTGCCAGGTGAGTCACGTGAGCTCCCAAATTAATTTTGCTACCTGTTATAGGAAGCAAGGTACACACTCTGAAAACTGGAATGAGTCAGCTTGTTTACTCTGTTTAAATGTTTCCATGGACTTTTCTGTCTTCAAAACAGGAGTAACAGTTGGGGACATCGGGCCTAAGTTTGGTTTTGATGAGATTGACAATGGTTTCCTGTCCTTCAGCAAGTTCCGAATACCAAGAGAAAACATGCTGATGAAATATGCTAAGGTGAGGATCCAAAGGGACATTTAGAAAAAGCTAAATAGTCCAGTTCTTTTATAATCTTTTCAAATAAATTTTTAGTGACTTTTCAGAAAAATATTTGTGGAATCCTAAGTTTTGAGTTCATGTTGTGTAACTTTTGCTGATGTGTTTTGACCACACAAAATTTAGTTCACCACACAAAGCCAACCAGTTACCATTGGGGGGTTAGATGACCTAATTTGCTATAACTGTTGGTGCCGCTGTTTACTGGAATCGTGGAACATAAATTATTTCCCCTACAATGCAATTGGAATGTCTTTAGGAAGAGATTGTGTAGACTTTTTTTTTTTTTTTTTTTTTTTCTTTTTTTTGTTTTTAGATTGGGAGACTAGTTTGAGGAATTATTAGAAACTGTCAGGGTTTTTTTTAAAAAATAAGGCTCTTCACCAGCACACCATCGCAGTGATAATTTTTGTCCTTTATTCACATAAAAGTGAATAAAGGACAAAAATGGCATGGCATGCTGATTTTTAGGGACACAGGATCCCTTTTTCAAGACCTTGATTCAAAACGGGAAGTAGGTAAATTCGAAAAAGGGATCTTGCAAGCATATGAAACGTCGGCCTGTCATGTCTTTTTGCTTTATGTGAATAAAGGACAAGAAAGATTCACTATACCACAGTGTGCTTGTGAATATCCTTCTTTCTCTGTATTCGCATGGTGGCACCATCCACCAATTGACTACTGTACCCTGCAAGAACTTTGGGCAAGCCTGTAAGGAGTCTGTTGGATAAAATACTACTTTTCTGAGTTGTGTTTTTTTTTTTTTCTTTTTCTGATGACCATCATTCTTGGGGTTGGAAGTGAGAGGCAGACAAAAATAAAACCTCTAGATTTTTCCACTCCTGATTAATAATTGTGTAGATTTTTAGGAAAATTCCTCTTAAGCTTCTAGTCTATAATTCCTGTTCAATAGCTTGTGTTATTTTAACCTGTAAATGCTTCTTAGGTGGAACCAGATGGAACATATGTAAAGCCAGTCAGTGATAAACTGACATACGGTACCATGGTGTTTATCCGCTCAATGATAGTAGGGGACTCGGCAAGAAGCCTTTCTCGGGCCTGTACTATTGCAATTCGGTACAGCGCAGTGCGACACCAGTCTGAGATCAGAGTTGGGTAAGGATGTTTCTCTCACTGCAAAATATAGCCATGTCTACATAGTATATTGAACCTATGGCCATGCTATGGATATTCAAGTATTTATATGTTCTTAAAAAGCAACAAATGGACTTTCACTGATCTGTACCTGCAGCCACTGTGGAACTATTCGAGTTCACAGCAAAAGCTCTGTTCCCTCTGCAGTGAAGCTCAACCTTGTCCTCTCACCCAAAGTACATGCTCTGTGTTTACAATAGGAATTAGAAGGCTTGGTGTCTGCTGAGTCACTGCTATGAGAGTGAACAGGGGGAGCCCAACTGCTTAGACTACCAGTTGGAGGACTTCAGTGCTTTTGCTGTGAAGTTTGCAGATGGACTGCTTCAAAGTCCCTGCAGCTACAAAGGTTAGTGAGGGCTTGTTGTGAAGCTAATTTATGTTAATGCTAGCCTGTACATTGCCTAGCACCAGATTCACGTAAAACTTGAAATGGATTATTTTATGAAGAACTGTGGAAACAAACCCAGGTTGACCATAAGATTAAGGGGGTTAGTATTTTGATCACCCAGACCACCCCTTGGTCCTTTCTCTCTCAATGTGCCAATTATAATGGCAGTTTTCTTTCTGGTCAAGGGGAACGTTGTAGAGCCATTGGTGACCTTCATCAATGTTTACCTGCCTAATACAGATCAGTTGGTCTTTATGTGTCGCTTATGTACCATTATGGAATATGGTGAGGGTCTTCTATTACTTGGAGACCCCTTAGAGGTCTTCAGGTTGCTTTACGCCTCTCCTCAGCCTACTTAAATCATGGTTACATTTTCTTCACCTGGTGGATACCTGGAGGTTTCTCCATCCGTCAGATGAGATTATACAAATTACTCCACCCCCCCAGACCTATTCTAGACCAGGTTATTTCTTTGTCCTGCATAAAGCTTTACCTAATATAATGACCATGTTTATTGATTCTATAGTTTTTATCAGACCAAGCTCCTGTCCACCTGACTTTCGCCATCGCCCCTACACAACAAACAGTATCCACCTGGCAACTTAACAAGGCTTTCTTATAAGACCCGGAAACCATGATAATTATCCACGTATTTTTATTCGAATGAAACGGAAGATGTGACCTCTCCTACCTTGTGGGATCCTGATAAATGCCTGGTACATGGCATATTTATAAAACATGTTGCCTGCTCGAATCAACCACACTCCTTCCAATGTCAGGCCTTATGCATACAAATCCGAATGCCAGAGTCTCTCGACAAAAATCTTGTCTACCTCTGCTCACAGTGAACTGATGGCTCTATGGGAGAGACTGAATTTCCCTTTTAATGGCATTAAACAAAAGCTTGTGAAAGGTTATAGACGTTTTTACGAATTTTTCAGACAAACCAAGCCATATGCTTGCAAGGGCCTTACAGGGTCCACAACAGAAGACATACCACATTGCTAGGGAAATTCAGTCATACTATCTCACCTGAAATAATTTGCCTACATGCTCACCAACCATGCATGAATGTAGACAACTTGACATAGATTCATTTCTTGAGCCCTTAGGCCCAAGAGAGGCCTGTAAGATTCTAGAACTTCCCATAATGGTGGAGGAATAGCATGTGGCTATTTCAGCTCGATCAGTTAAAGCCCCTGGTCCTGATGGCCTCTCAATTCAGTACTACAAAAAGACAGACTTCCACCCTACTATCTCTGTGCTTTTAATTTTATAATAGATGAAGCCTCTCTCCCTCCAGACTCTTTCTGGGCACATATTACTGTACTTCCTAGACAAGGCAAGCATCTCACAAAATATAGTATCTAAAGACCAATCTCCCTACGTGACGTAAACCTAAAACGTTTTTCCAAGATCCTTGTTACTAGACTTCTATCCACTTGGCCCATACATTTTCATGCAGATCAGGTAGGGTTTCTTGCTCTACGTGAGGCGCTTGACAACACTACCAGAGTGATTGATATCCGTATGGGAAGGTCAAGGGCTACTCCACTCATGATTCTTTTCACTGATGCAGAGAAAAACTTTATTGTATGGATTGGCAATTCCTGCTATCCACTTTTTCTTATGTGGGTCTTGGTACCCATATGCTGGTTTGGATTTTTGCCCTCTACTCCTCACCACAGGCAGGTTTGAATCAATGAAACCCTTGAATGTATACTTTGAATTATCCAATGCTATTAAGCAGGGCTGCCCACTCTCACCCCTGATATTTATTCTTCCCCCTTAGAACCTCCACTATTCCTCTCACATGCATATCACTGGGCTTCAGGGTACATCTAGATGCCACAAAGTTGTGGTCTATGCAGATGGCCATCTTTTTGTCATTTTCAAACCCTGAGCTTTCTTACCCCTAATCTGATGTCATTATTTCACCCTTATGGCACCCTAACTACTGGATAAACTATCCAAAGCATTTAACATTACATTGGCAACGAATAGGGATTCTAAACTGAAAAATTCCTTCCCCTTTTCCCTGGGCTCCCAGTGGCATTGAATACCTGGGCCTTACGCTCACTCCTAACCCGGACCATTTATTTGAGGCCAATTTTTGTCCCTTGCTGATTTAAATAACTGTGGACCTACAGAAATGATGTGTTTTAAACTTGACATGGTTTGGGGAAATGTAATGCTTTTAAAATGATGACCCTACCCCAGATATTGTACTTTTATCCAGACTTTTTCCATTATCCCTGCCTCATTCTTTAATCCTTTACGGTCGATACTACTACTTTATTTGGGGTGACCATTCACCTTGTACACACATCTCTTTTGACAATTCCACAGCAGGAGGGGGAGCATTGACCTGCGAGATGTCCTTCTTCTCTATTACAAAGAAGTGCATCTCATCTGGATGGTGATCTGGTGCACTCAGGCCCAGACCAAGGTGATATCTTCCACCTTCTCTTTACCAGACATTTCTCCACACCCCTCTCCTTTGATTCTTATCCTGAGAGATCTAGAGGTTGTGTCAGGTACTAACATGCACCATCGATTTGTGTCCAACAAGCATGTTGGAAAATTTTCTCTCGATCAGTGTATTCTGATGTCAAGGAAGTTTCCCCACCAACACAACACAATATGGTGTGAATGGGGGAATTGAGAAGTTTTTCTTTCATTTAACGAACAGGTTGAATGGGTAAACAAATTACTTGTGTATGGACAGCCTTACTCTGCTGATGCTATTTAAATAAACAAAACGGTTAGAATAAAATTACGGAGGTAAAGGAACTGCATTTATATGAATGTATGTATGGATGATGTGATGTACAGGCTAATATCGGTATACAGAAATAAACTTGTATTCTGACATCCACAGGGATCCAGAGCCACAAATCCTCAATTTCCAGACCCAGCAGTACAAGCTGTTTCCTCTGCTGGCCACGGCCTATGCATTCAACTTTGTAGGTTCATACATGAGCCAGACATATCACAGGATAACTGGAGACATCCAGCAGGGTAACCTAAATGAATTACCAGAGGTGAGGATTGCTTTATCTGATCGCTAAAATTGGGCTTTAGGGAAACTACAAATTTTTCACTCATTTGACAACTCGGATTTTGAATCTTAACTACTGGTATTCAGAACTTGAGCTGTGTCCTCCAATGAAGTCAGACAAAAGGGTTTTATGTTGGGTATTAAAATACTATTTTAATTGGGCAATCAATCTGAGTTATTGTACAGTTGAAGTAAACCTATTTTATCTAATTTCCTCTTGGTTAGGGAATTCAGCAGTGTCCTCTCTCCACCCCCAGCCTTCTGATTAGATAAGAGGAGCAGCAGATTGATGGAGGCAACCTGACTGTGCATTTTTTGTCTGTATCAGAGTATTACTTGTCAGCACGTTAACATGTCTCATTGGCTCCCAATCCTACCACTCCCACTTCTGGGAGGAGGAATGGTGTCACTTTGTTGGTATCAGTAGGAGGAATAGTTCCCCATTGTTGGCAGTGGGAGGAAGAATGCCCAATCATTGTCAGTGGGAGGAATAGTGTTGCAGGGAATAATGCCCCATCGTTAGGGGGGGGAATAGTGCCCCTGTCATTGTTGGGGGAGGAATAGTGCCCCGTCATTGTTTGGGGAGGAATAGTGCCCCGTCATTGTTTGGGGAGGAATAGTGCCCCGTCATTGTTGGGGGAGGAATAGTGCCCCGTCATTGTTTGGGGGAGGAATAGTGCCCCGTCATTGTTGGGGGGAGGAATAGTGCCCCGTCATTGTTGGGGGAGGAATAGTACCCCGTCATTGTTGGGGAGGATGGTGCCCCCATTTGTTGGGGGAGGAATGGTGCCCCGTCATTGTTGGGGAGGAATAGTGCCCCGTCATTGTTGGGGGAGGAATGGTGCCCCGTCATTGTTGGGGGAGGAATGGTGCCCCGTCATTTGTTGGGGGAGGAATGGTGCCCCGTCATTTGTTGGGGGAGGAATGGTGCCCCGTCATTTGTTGGGGGAGGAATGGTGCCCCGTCATTTGTTGGGGGAGGAATGGTGCCCCGTCATTTGTTGGGGGAGGAATGGTGCCCCGTCATTTGTTGGGGGAGGAATGGTGCCCCGTCATTTGTTGGGGGAGGAATGGTGCCCCGTCATTTGTTGGGGGAGGAATGGTGCCCCGTCATTGTTGGGGGGGGGGGGGGGGGGGTCGAAGAGTGCCTCATCATTGGTGTCAGTGATAAAAATACCGCCCAGGAGCTGGTTAAAAGCAAGGAGTAGACCTCAATATGGGAATCTCTGCTTTAGCTACTTGAAGAATGTACTCCGGTGTCTTCTTCGAGTTGCCAAAAGTTCTACTTTAAAGGACAAATGTTGAGTAATGTAGTGTGCTGGTCTATATGGTTAAACCTCCTTCCTTTATAATCTCTAAAGCTCCATGCTTTGTCTGCGGGACTGAAAGCCTTCACTACATGGGTTTCCAGTGCGGGTATCGAGGAATGCAGGATGGCATGTGGAGGGCATGGATACTCAAGATGCAGTGGAATCCCTGACATCTATGTGACTTTTACCCCAGCCTGCACCTATGAGGGGGGAGAACACTGTGATGATGCTGCAGACAGCCAGGTACTGAATGCATAATACAGATTTTATTTTTGTTTTAAATGTATTTATGGGGAGGGCAATTTAATACAGGGATTTTGAGGCAAGCATGAAATCCTCTGAAGAGAGCAGTCGTAAGGAAAAATAAAGGTTGGTGTTACTGATCTTTGCTTCTGAAAATGCTAGCTGCCTGGCTTCCATGCTGACCATCTTGTTTCAATATTTGTAAGCCGCTTACCTGAAACAAGTATGTAGATAAGAATATTAAAACTATACTTTATCCTTCAGTCTTCCTCAGTGCAGGCTCCACTTCTGCATTGAAATTGGTTATTCTGGTTTCACTGCACACTGTTAGCTTCTGGCAATGTGCATTAAAAGCTGCAGCAAGTCAAATATTTCCTGTATGAAAGATGTCCTGTATCATTTAGTCTTTTTTTTTTTTTTTTTTTTCATAACTTTACTGTCCGTAGCCTGCCCCTTTCATTCATTGGATTTTAGTTCCATTTCAGTTATGGAGGGTCAGCATCACATGTAAGTGTTAATTAGGACAGTCTGCCTAGAAATACCTACTCCACCACACATAACTGCATTTTGATATTTGCATAAATGCTCCTAAGACCCAGCCGACCTGTTTCATCAGGGCTGAGGGTTCTTGAGAAGAGTGCTAAGGCAGGGTGATGTGATGTTTCCAGAAAGCTATGTAGCACCATTTCAGTCCCTCCCACCAGCTATGATCTGCCTGTGCTGCATAGAGAAAACCAGGAACCCAGTGATGAGATCACCTAGGTATAACATTTATTCATTGGCAATTGCTAGCTGAATGAGAAGCAATGTGAGTGTTGAAGACCAGGCCCTTTCACACTACAGAACTGAAGAAATAAATCTTGGGACATTGCTTTCCTCACTGAAGGTTTATAGTAAGCAATCTGGGACTTTTAAGTATATTTTTAAAATTAAAAACATATGCATTAGATTAAGTATGGGGGGAATATGGAGTGGGTAAGATGAGTGGTCTTTTTCTCCCTGGAAATGAGCTTTAGGGCCTGACCACATGCAAAAATGGAGCAGTTTTTTTTTTTTTTTTTTTTTTTTTTTGTGTTAAGTGTAAAAAGCGGCACTTCATTCAGGTCAATGCATAACAACGCTGCCCTTGCTCTATGGTGATTTGCAGGGGCTTTCAGAGTGGCGCAATATTATGCAAACATATTGCATCACTTATCCATGAGAAAAAAAACAAAGGTAACTACATGTAGTGTGGACAGGCCTCCAATGAAACTTTTTTTTTTTTTTTTTTTTTTTTTTTTTCTCCCTGATGTATTTTTTTCCACCTATTGCATGTGAGCCAGAAATGGTTTCCTTTCAGTTAGCTACATATTGTGCCCTGAATTTTGGAATTGATTTGTTCTTGGTATCTCTGATTTTATTCGAACCATAATGCCTCTATACCCTGCATTTCTTCTGGACAGGTTCCTGTTTAAAAGTTACACTGCTGCCGTATCAGGAGAACATCTTGACGGGATGGTTTCGTATCTGAACGATGTACCCTCTCGGCATGTACAGCCTCAGCCTTTGGCTGGTCGGTCTCAAATCGACATAAATGATTTGCTCAGTTTGGTGGAGGCCTATAAACAGCGGGCAGCTTGGTAAGGACAAAAACCGAGAAAAGTGACCGTTCTTAGCTGCTTTAGTTATCCTTGTGGCATATAGCAACATGCTTTTAGTCACATTAAAGCTTTTCTTCTCCTTCAAGTCAATAGGAAGGCAAATGCTAATTGAAGCAAGTTCATATTTCTTAGAGCGAACAAATAATGCAGCTCAAAGCACCTGTGAATTCACAATGTCATGGTCCACGGGAATCCGAGGGGGTCAGTCCCAATAGGCTGGCTAGTGGCCCAAATAGCAACTCAAGGTGACCCCTGGAAGAGAAAAGAGGGGAGGGAGAGCCCTTATAGTGTAGTGACTCAAAAAAGGTGATTATTTATTTAAAGGGAAAAAAAAAAAGTTAATCAACAGAAGTTAAATGACTTGCATCTGCAAGTCATTTAATTTGTGTTGATTTAACTTTCTTTTTTTTTTTTTTTTTTTTTTTTGAGGCTGAGTTCACCCTGTCAGGTGGTCACATGAAATCTTCCATTAGCAGATGTGGTTAATACCATGCCCCCAAGAACAATTATAATGGTCATTCTCGATGCCATGTGAGCCCAAGACCCGAGTCCACTGTGGGTTCCCAGGTGGGTGTAGAACTAGGTGAGTTAGATGAGCTCTAGAAAAACCCATCTGTCATCTGAGCAGAAGAGGTGCCAGTTATTGTATGTCTAAGGATGGGTCAGAGATATCTGGTTTAATGAACATTAAATGGCAATTTGGTGTTCATTAAACCAAATGATTCCGGCCCATCCTTAGACTGACAATAATGTGTTCCTATGCTGTTGGGATCACCAACTGGTTTTTCTAGATCTCTCATAACCCACCTAGCTTATAGCACCTGCCATTTAATTTTAAGTGAATTCAGAAGCATCTTCAATTGATGTCACATAAAAGTGAAATGCACCTGCATTTGCCCAAAGCTTCATGAGACAGGCCCTTAAGGTGGTTGTTTTCAAAGAGTGCATATCAAAGAAAATGCAAGCCCCTAGTGTGTTTAATAAAACATCTATTATCTTGACATCTCATCCCAAGAATTTGTTTTCCCATACACAATAGTGGTGATAGGGTAACCCTTCATATGACGTCACCAACAGGCTTATTTCTGTACATGCACCTAAGCTTCAGTAAGCATTCTCTGACGCAGTGTCTTTTTGGGGGAGGCAATTTAGTTATTCTGGTTTTGGGAGTTAGACATCTCTGGTACTGGACCTTGTTAGCTATGGGGAAGTTTATTGCCTGGGTTGGATTTTCCTAGCCATTCACTTTTGTTTTTCCCAAATACCAGGTAGGTCTGCACTTTCCCCCAAGATACTAAGGCTCTATTCACACCTGAGCTAGCTCAAAGCTCCAAAACACTTGGGGAATCAATTATTCTCAATGGAGATGGCTCACATCTCCACTGCAAGTTGCCTGAAGCTCAGACAAGTTCTGGAGCTTTATTTTGTTGCTCAAATTGGGCAAATTTGCATGTTTTTGAGGTTTTCAACTCCAATGGAAATGCGCAATTCACGTGTTTTGCCATGTGTTTTCATGGATTTTTCTGCTCAAATGAGAAAATAAAAATAAATGAAAATATATATGAGTAAACACATGTAAAATAAATATACAAATATATAATATTAAATATTAAACAAAATTACTAATATGTAATCATAAATAACCCTGAACCATAATAAATTTATATATATATATATATATATATATATATATATATATATATATATATATATATATATATATATTATATTTTCTGGTTCAGCGTTATTTATGATTACATATTAGTTATTTTGTTTATATTTATGATTATTATTTTTATTATATTTTACATGTATTTACTCATAATTTTATTTATTTTTATTTTCTCATTTGAGCAGAAAAATGCACGAAAACGTGGCAAAACACGTGAATCGTGCAAGAAATAAATTATGACTAATAATACATTTTTTTTTTTATTTTGTGTTTTTAATATTAATTATTATAGTTTTGTTAAGAGTAAGGGGATACAATTAGGGGTTCGCTATTTATTTTTATTTGTGTATCTATTTTATTGTACATGTATTCATTCAAAATTATTATTGTTATTAACAGCCTTACAAAAAAAAAATAAGGCTTTAAATAAAATATATTAACACCTAATCTTAACCCTAACCTTAAAGTGTTACTAAACCCAGGACCCTGCATTCACTATATTTGGTCTCACACAGTACACAGAACATGGAAATGCAATTATTTTAGTAAATTATAAACTGCTAAATACCTTTTCTCATCAACAGTTAGAGCAGTCTTGTGACTTCCTTCTGAGCACTGGTTAAAGCTTGTAGGAGGAATTTTCTTTCTGTTCTAGGAGGATGCAGAATCTCTGACCTCTGCCTGGACAGTGCTGACTGGCCCTGTGCTGAGCACATGCACTCTCCCAAGAGAAAAAGCAATACACACTAAACTGAGCATGTACAGAAGGGCTACAGGTTCAGTCTCGTCTTATCAGTGTGGACGTTTCAACAATAAGAGGGGCAGAAAGGTCAGGATCAAACAGCCTTTTTACAGCCCTAGTTTCCACAGTAATACATAACCAGTTAAACATGGTGGGGGAAAGTTTCTGTTATTGTCACTCTGATGCTTCATTCTTTCATTTCGTCTTTTTGTTATAAAATACATATTTAGCATTTTTTTTATTTATTTTGTAATTTTTCATTTTTTTCCCCTAACTTTTAGGATCCTGACATGTTACAATTAGACTATACAATCTTTGTACTAGCTCCTTTTAGACTGACAAAACTATGTCATACATGTGCACAGACATCCCTGTTTAAGGCATGCGGTCAGCAGGGTATGTCAGAGTTCTGTGCTTTAATGCATGAAATGGTATTCACAGGCGTTTAACTATGAAACCGTTATCGCTTCTCTGTCCTTTTTGTTTCACCATTCAAAAAGGATTGTCAAAAAGATGCTAGCTGTTATAAAGTACAAGTGCTTAGTGGTGCCTCCATATATATGCATTGGCTTAAAATATTCCTAGTACTTTAAAAATGCTGCACCATCTTGAAGGGGCAAAGCTCTGTCATGTAGTAGTAACAACTCCCTTCTGCTCCTCATATTCTTATTGGCCCCTTGCTATTTTTAAATTCCTCACTGATCTGTAGAAATGTTTTTGATAGGCAGGAGAGGCATGCAAGCTCTATCACTATAAAGAAGAACCAGAGCTTTATCAGTTCAGAAAGGCTTTTGGGCATACAGAAAGCAATTACAGCTACAACAGGTACGAGCCTGCCCCTTTTTTTTTTTTTTTTTTTTTTTTTTTTTTTTTTTTTTTTTTGCATGCATGAAAGCAGCTTAATTAGGTGACAGACACCCCACCCATCCAATATCCATAGAAATAAAATGGTATCATCGGAATTTTCTTTTAACCACTTCCTGCCCGGACACTTTTACCCCCTTCCTGTCCAGGGCAATTTTCAGCTTTCAGCGCTATCACACTTGGAATGATAATTGAACGGTCATGCAATACTGTACCCATATGAATATTTTTACCATTTTTTTTTTGAGACCGATAAAGCTTTATTTTGGTGGTATTTATTCACCGCTGGGATTTTTAATTTTTTTGCTATGTAAATGAAAAAGTCCAAACATTTTGAAAAAAAAGTTTTTTTTTTTTTTTTTTTTTTTTTATAAAATTTTGCAAATAAATAATATTTCATCATAAATCTTGGCCAAAATTTTATTCCGTTTATTTTTTTAGTAAAAAAAAAAATCCAAATTAGTTTATAACCAAAAATTATCATTTTTAAACTTTTTTTTTTTTTTACATTTTAATTTTATTTTTTTATATTTTTATTTTTTTACATACGGTCACCCTAGCAGTACAGTGTCACCATGGTGACACTGTACTACTTGTGGGGGGTGATGAAGATTTTTTTTTTTTACACTGATTGCTTTTACACCCATATAGGATGTAAAAGCAATCATTTTCTCTTTCTCTCTGTGTGCATTCTTGCAGCCATTGAGTACTACTAAGTGAGCTGTGATTGGTCTGTTGTGAATAGCCTTGTACCATGTGACCTCTGTGATCATTCACAGATTTCACACGTAGTAAGCAATGATGTCACTGTGACATCTTGCTTACTACTTTGCATGTGATCACTGATTGGCCAATCAGTGATCACATGATCGGGACCTCGTACAGAGGTCCCGTCCGACGATCGGTGTTTCACTGTGTCCTGAGGACACAGCGGGCACCAGATCGCGGTGCTGCGCACTCCCAGGGAGCGCGCACAGCTAGAAACCGCGGGTGCCGTTTATGAACGGCAACCTGCCCCTGGACTGCCACCGCCCTGCCGTTTTATAAACAGCAGGCGGACGGCAAGTGGTTAAATAGGATGTTGCTATGTTCTAAGCCACATTGGGACCAGTAAAGTCAGCAAATGTTCTGTGATGCTTTTGTTTGGTAGATGTTGTGTACATACAGGCTCCATTGAAGGAAATCTGGTCCTGCTATGGGTTTTTCTTGTGCCACACTTTTACAGCCTAAGACCTCTTGCACACTACAGCTTGAAAAAGCTGAGTACAGTGTTTTTGTTTTTTTTTTTTTTTTTTACTGATCTAAAATGCAGCCCACTGTTTATAATGTGTCTGTACATACATGCATGTAAACAAGTGCTGTGTATTCTTGAGTAGAAACATTTGTGTTCCTGGTGGTTTGCGCCAAATATGAGCATATGTGTGCAAGCATGTGTATATGAGCATAAATATTAATGGACTTTGTCTAGAAATATATTGTGCATGAGAATGCACATGTGTGCAAATGTGCACAAAAATATGAATATGTGCAAAACAAACTTAAAATTACGTCCAGAAATGCTGAAGCTCAAACATCAGGACCGTGTGTAAGAGCCCTAATACAACAGTTCTGCTTTAAATTAAAAAATCCAGTGCTTCAATGTTTACCCGGCCTTTTTCTCTCCTCACCTCTAGGCTTGTTGTAGGTGCAGCTAGGAGTGTCCAGGCTGACTTGAACCGTGGAAAACGTAAAGAAGATGCTTGGAACAAGAATTCTGTAGATCTGGTCCGGGCATCTCAGGTACGACAAAATTGAAATCTGAACACCTTTTTTTTTTTTTTTTATTTTCTTAATTTAAGAAAAGCAGTCTCAAATAATATATCAAGGCTATGAGGAAAAAAAAATAACGTACTGTACATTCCAATATACATCAGTTATCTTCTGGCAATCATGCAAACTGTCCAAAATATGCAAAAAAAAAAGAGGTATCCTGAGGGGGGGGGATCTCAAAACGTCTACTGGGTATGGCCCAGCACGGCAGGAAGGGCAGATACAGAAGCGAGAGTAACCAAAAAAGACCTGATGATGGAAGACACAGCCCAAATATGTATAGACATGGTCTTAGCGGCGTAGGATACTCCATGAATTTGTGGGACAACTGGAAAGCGATGCGGGGATGGTAAGATCAACCAAAAATTGGGGGGGGGGGGGGGGGGGGGGCAGAGGTGTAAGGGGAGTAGTGGTGGTGTGTACGGATGGAAGCTACCACAAGAACCCATTAGCCTGAACACCCTTTTTATCTTTTAATCGCCATCTTCATCAAAAGTATATTTCAGTTTAGAGTTCCCGGATGGGTTGAATAACCTTCCTAGTTAACTAAAAACTGATTTAACCGCTTCCCGTCCACCCTATAGCAGAAGTACTGCTACAGGGTGGGACGGGTGTGCACAAAATCGTGTGTGTATATATACGTGATTTTGCATTTCCGGGTAGGGGGCGCGACTGCGGCTGTCAATCACCGGGTCCCAGCTGGTGATTGCTCGCCAGTGCCCAGTGATTACCGAGCATCTCCGACAGGGGAGGGACAACGGTTTATAAACAAAACAGTTCTCTCCCCTGTCAGCCCCTGCACACTGCTTTGCATGGCTGTGCATAGCAGAGCCATGCAAAGCAGTGTGCTTACAGTGAAGCACAAACACAGCCACACAGTATAACAAGGCACACAGTTAGTCCTTTGATCGCCCCTCATGTTAACCCCTTCCTGCCTAGTGTCATTAGTACAAAGTCAGTGCTTTTTATTAGCACTGATCACTGTATTGGTGGCACTGGGGATGTCAGTGACACCAAGTCAGTTCCCCCCAGTGTCAGAATGGCCGCCGTAGTCCCGCTATAAGCTGCTGATCGCTGCCATTACTAGTAAAAATAAAATAAATAAATAATCCCAGTATACATACCACCATTTGTAAACACTATACATTTCACATAAAAACCATTTAATTTACACATATTGGGACTTTTTTTTATTTTTTTTTTTTTTAGCAAAGACATGTCACAGAATACATTTTGGCCTAAATTTTATGACTAAATTTTTTTTTTTTTTTTTTTTTTGTTACTGGACATGATTAATAAGCCAAAAATTATTGGGGGGTTTTTTCTCAGAATTTTTTTTTATTTTTTTAATATAGCGAAAAAAAATAAACATCGCACAGGCGATCAAATACCACCACAAGAAAGCTTAATTCATAAGTAAAAAAAGGCCGCAAATTTAATTTGGGTGCAGCGTTGCATGACTGCTCAATTGTCAGTTAAAGTAACGCAAAAAATGGCCTGGTCAGAAACGGGAGTAAATCCTCTGGAGGGCAAGTGGTTACAGGAAGTTGGGTGACCTGGCAAAGCTCCTACAGAGAGCTTGAGGCAAGGTTTGCATCTCTACATGCTTGGGGTTCAGAAGATACTAAATTTGAATAGGTTACATTTATCTCAGACCTATAGGCCTGTCTAGGCATCTTGTGGTGCCTACAGATTGGGAATAGATTCTCTTATGAGACTGGGTTCTCTTATGAATCTTCTAACCGCTTCAGTCAGTTTATAAAATTTTTAAGGGCCTATTCACATCACAGTGTGCATTATTGTGCGCCTAACGAATGTGCACTGCAGTGTGTTGTTAACCTGCAATGTAGTGCTTATTTTTTTTTTTAACTTGGCATGTTATTCTATGCTCAAGCACATTGATGCATTACATGACTTATGTTGGTATAAATGGAAATCTATGAACATATGGTGAAACACCTTGTTCTGGTGTGCAGACTGTGTTGAACAACACAGCCCCAAACTGCTGACGTGAATGTGCCTCATTAGCTTTGACATTTTTTTTAATCAGCTTTTATTTTTCTGTAATGTGATCCCACAACATTCTTCCCTGTCCTATTCCAAACATCAGGGAGAGGGCAGTTCATTCTGTCACACACAAATGGAAAAGTAGGTTCCCCATCGCTGTTCTAGAAGGCTGTACTTTATTGGTGCCACAGTCCTATAGGCTGCAGCTGCACAAGGCAATCAGCAAGGCGGGGCTGGGCAGAGGCAGGTAAACCGACTACAGAAGATACCGGCATGCCGAGCATCCTGTACCTCTGAACAGCAAGTCCAGGGATGCAAACTGACCATGCAGGCAGAGATCTGCTTCCATGCTTTGCAGGGTCAGTTTCCTACAAGGAAAACCATGGACTGTCGGGATCACCAGGTATTTCTGATGAATGGAGTCTGTGAAATAGTAGAAGACTACTGCTTGAAAGATGCACACATAGAAAAAAAGTTAGGCTAGGATTAGTGCACAAACAGTGGAAGTAATTAATCCTCAAAGATCACAAAAAAAACCTCTAAAACTTGGAAACATATTCTGTGTGTTCAAGGCTACGTTCACACATTTTGCAGTGCGATAAACAGAGCATGTAAATGTGCATTACTTTACACAATGTGTGTTGTGTTAGGTCAGTCCATTCACTTGAAAGGGCTCCCTAGTGCACAAAAACTCCGCAAAAGAAACCACACACCAGGAAAGTAACAGGAAATTAAACTAAGGTTTAATTGTAAATTCTGAATATCCGTTTTTCCACAGTGCCTGTAGATACATAGGTAAATGATGGCTTGTTTTTAAAGTGTTTTTTTATTGATTTATCAGAATTGGTAAATACTAATGCATAGTCTGGTTCACTTTAAGAACTTTGCTTTTGAGTTCCCAGATCTGACAACATGCTTGCTACAGTTATGTGGCACCAGCACTTCCTGTTGGCATTTTTATTCATTTATTTTTTTTAATATGAATGAGTTTACTTCTTAACCACCTCCCGTCCGGCCGTTGTATATAAATGGATGGACGGTGGCACTGCAGGGTCGGGTGGCCGTTTATAAACTGCCTCCCCGCACCCTGCTTGTGTGCGCTCCCTGGGAGCATGCAGCACCGCGATCCAGTGCCCGCTGTGTCCTCCGGACACAGTGAAACACCAATCGTCGGACGGGACCTCTGTACGAGGTCCCGATCATGTGATCACTGATTGGCCAATCAGTGATCACATGCAAAGTGGTAAGCAAGATGTCACTTGTGACATCATTGCTTACTACGTGTGAAATCTCTGAATGATCACAGAGGTCACATGGTACAAGGCTGTTCACAACAGCCTTGTACCATGTGACAAGCTGTGACCAATCACAGCTCACTCAGTAGTTCTCAATGGCTGCAAGAATGCAGACAGAGAGAAAGAGAAATGATTGCTTTTACATCCTATATGGGTGTAAAAGCAATCGGTGTAAACCAAAAAAAAAAAAAAAAAAAAAAATCTTCATCACCCCCCACAAGTAGTACAGTGTCACCATGGTGACACTGTACTGCTAGGGTGACAGTATGTAAAAAAAAATAAAAAAATGAATATAACAAAAATTATAATTTTTAAACATTTTAAATTTCTTTTATATTAAACTAATTTTGGCTTATTTTTTTTTTACTAAAAAGATAACAGAATACATTTTGGCCAAGATTTATGATGAAATATTAATTTGCAAAAATTTATAAGAAAAAAACACTTTTTTTCAAAAATTTTGGACTTTTTCATTTACATAGCAAAAAAAATAATCCCAGTGGTGAATAAATACCACCAAAATAAAGTTTTATCTGTCTCAAAAAAATGGTAAAAAATTCATATGGGTACAGTGTTGCATGACCGCGCAATTGTCATTCAAAGTGTGATAGCGCTGAAAGCTGAAAATTGCCCTGGACAGGAAGTGGCTAAAAGCAGAGATGAGATGTAAAGGTTGGCAGGATAAGAGACACATATGTTGGGGAGATCTTGCTGCTGGAGCCCCATAAGGTGTATCAAGCCAGCAGGTGATTCTGCCAACCATACTTCATAACTGAAATCTCACTTTTTGTTGGGCTGGTCTGTTAAGCTCATAAAACACGTATCCTGTTGTTGGAAGTTGCTAATAACACCTGTATGTGATTTTTACCTTTTAGGCTCACTGCCATTATGTTGTTGTCAAACTGTTTGTGGATAAGCTATCTGAGATCCTGGATGCTGCTTCCCATCGCATACTGAGCTCCCTCTGCCTCCTCTATGCTCTGTATGGAATCAGCAAAAACACAGGAGATTTTATTCAGGTTTGTGTAGAGCAATTTTTGTATTAATGCTGCTAATATTACAAAGGTGATTTCAGCTTTAGGGCTCGTTCACACTAGGCTGTTTTGCCAACGCTTGCCAAACGCCCTATAGCTTTTGGCAAGCGTTGGTCCGGCGTTTGCGGAGCGTTATTAACGCTCCGCAAACGCCGCATGCGCGGTTTAGCGGAGGTTGCTAGGCGTTTGCCGAGCGTTAATAACGCCCCACAAACGCCTATAATGCAGTTTGAGTGGTGTTACCGCCCCGCAACCGCGTCGCAACCGCACCGCAAACGCCGGCCGGGCGTTTGCGGAGCGGCACCATAGACGAGAATAGGAGGCTTCAAAGCCTCCTGACTCGTCCAGAGGCGTCCGTTTTGCCGCTACGCGACGCGACGCAAACGCTCCCGTTAGAACAGCACCATGTGCTGTAATGTGCAGAATTGGCAGAGGCGTTTGGGAAGCGGTAAAAACGCTTCCCAAACGCCTCTCTGCCGCCTGCACACAAGGCTAGTGTGAACGTAGCCTTACTAATTCATTGTTTTAATAATAAATGTAGGTATTTAAACATCGTGATTATTATTATTTTTATTTCATATGGCGTATATAGTTAGGTTTAACTTCTGTTTATAGTTTTATGTTTACAGCAATTTCCATATGTTTAAAACTGCATAGTGTGGCTAGAAATAGGAATATCTCACATCTTACTATTCAAGCTTTGTCAAATGCAATGAATGGACCCCGAACCATTATATTTTTCTTTATTTAGGTTTTAAAGTGGTTCTAAAGGTACAAATTGTCCTACTACCTGAAGGATAAAGTATTTATTTTGCAAATAAAGATTTAATACATGATAAAAGATTCCCAGAGCAGTATTGATTCTGGAGTGGGGGGGGGGGGGTGAAATCCGTGCTCATAAGTTTCAACTTGAGCTTTTGAGCATTGCAAACCGAGCACTCCAAAGACATGCTGAAAGGTTCAATGGCTTGTGTCTAAATTGGCCCTAGTATGTGTATGTATGAATGTAAGTTAGATTGTACACCCCTTGAGGGTTAGGGACTGATGTGAATGTACAAATCGGCACTTACAGTACCTGTAATGTTGCAAATATGTGAAAGCAGGCTAAAAGGAGATTAAATATTAATTTGCAGTATTTCATATTCACCTGAAAAAATATTTGAATTTTTTTTTTTTTTTTTTAAATTCCACCTGGCCATAATAATGAAACCGTATGAAACCAATTCACAAAATGCTGCTAAAAATAAGAATTGCTCTTCTTCTCAGCAGATATTAGCGATGAAAGGCAGAGCACTTTGATAAAGCTGGTTTGCAGTTGTGTAGACTATGACAGAATGTTGCAGATTGGTATAAAAAAAAATACACTTACAGGGTTAAAAAAAAAAAAAAGGGGGGGATCTATTTACAAAACATTTGTATCACGAATGTCAAAATCATTTGTGCAAGCTGAACGAATGTCTTGTATTTTTTTTCTAAGAGATTAATGTCTTTATCATCCGCTGCATCTACTGTCCAAAATATGCAGTATAGTTCTTGCATTGAGGTATTTCAGAAAATTAAACTGCATTTTGGCCACTAGATAAAGCTGACGATACATACCTGTATAAAACACTTGTTGCACCATGTAGATTAATAGTCCCCTTAGAGTTGGCAAATGTGATTTGCGTTGGCTGGTTATTGGTATTAGCAGTGTTGGCTTTAGAAGGTACTATCACTTTATTCAGTGTAAAAGAATTGCTAACTAGAGAATCAACAGCATCACTAGTGTCAAAAGCTTATGGTGAAGTAGGGACCATCCAAAGAAGGATTGTTTTTTTTTTGTTTGTTTGTTTTTTTGTTTTTTGTTTTTTTCCTCTAATAGATTACATGTACTCTATAAGATTATGTCTTCTACAGGCTGGTCTTCTGACTTTCTCCCAGTTGGAACAAGTAGAGCAGCGGGTTAAGGATTTGCTGGCAGTAATCCGTCCTAATGCAGTGGCTTTGGTTGATGCATTTGACTACAGTGATACTCAGCTGAGCTCTGTCCTGGGAAGATATGATGGAAATGTGTATGAAAATATGTTTGAATGGGCCAAAAAATCACCTCTCAACAAGACACAGGTAGGGAATGCCAAATGTAAATGTATTACCTTCTTGGACATCTATACCTAGAAATGTTAAAAGTATTTGAGAACCTAAAGTAAGAAAACCCTAGCAATGAACTTCTCTTGTTTGCTCTGCTAAAAAAAAAAAAAAAAAAAAAGAAACATACCACTGAAAACGTTTTTGTTACATTTGTTGGATGAGTGCAGAACGTAACTGCTTAACTTGCTAAAAATCTAATGTCCTGTGCTACATTCTTATCCGTTACATACCTCCCAGCCCTCTCTGTGCAATACATAACCCCCTACCCCTTTGCTAGAAAGAAAAGGAGAGAGACAGGTGTTCTGTAGTCTTGTCTTAGGGCGACAAGGCTCTTTCTCCCTAGACACAGTACAGTAAGTGAGCATTGTCCCTTTAGGACAGAAAGTGTGTTAGTGACAGATTTTTTAAACACTTTTTTCCCCCCTTTTATGTTCACCTGGTGATTCTAATGTAGCAAGCACAGGACTGGTAAGCTGAAAACATATTTACATTTTCCTATTTGGATTTAGATTAGTGGTGGTCAACTTTCTTGATATTCAAAAATGCAGACATGATGATACAAGAGATGATCAGGGACTGCAGACATGATATAAAAGATCATCAGTGACTGCAAACATGATTAAAAAGATGGTCAGACTGCAGACATGATACAAGAGATGTTCAGGGACTGCAGACACAATACGAGAAACATGATGCAAGAGATGGTCCGAGACTGCAGACGGGATGCAAGAGATGGTCCGAGACTGCAGACTGGATGCAAGAGATGGTCCGAGACTGTGGACATTCAGAATACTTTATTAATCCTAAGGAGAAATTATTAATGCAAGTTACCTGACTAGCTTTGTTTTTTTGTATTTTCTGAGTCACTTACCTGGAATAAGCATGCATTCAGTGAAGCCAGAGAGAAGTCTTGATATGCATTCTAGTGCCTGGTCTGTGTATCAGAAATTACTGAAACCAGTAAATTGGAGAACACAAGAGAAACTTATACATATAACTACATAGGTGGCATCCTAAAATATTAATTGTCCGGAGCCCAACATTAAATATGGCAGTGCTACGCTCTCTTCATATGTTATATACTCTGTTTTTGCCTCTGAGTCACGTAGACTTGTATGTATGTTCTTCTTTTCTGAAACATCTAATAAGATACATATTTACCTCTAAATATGGCAGTGCTGATCAAAGAGTTACCCAGGGTTCCTGTGCTGGAAAGTAGAACAAATGTGAACTGTGGATTTCTCATCTACAATTTGGTTGGTTGCTGTTTGTAACATCTAGATGTCACATTTGTTAAAGTGATTATGCTGTGGGGAAAGTAAGAAGCTGTCATTGCTCACCTGCTTTTTGAAACTGCTATTTGCCCGGCTTCTGGTTTCAATACTTTTTTGTCACAATAAGTGTCTGAATTCAATATCTCCATATTTGTTACGGTTCCGAGGACATGATTGAAATCAATGCATGACAACTAGGTAAATGGCTTCCCAAATGGCAGTCCCCATACTTTTTCATATGACAGTCACTTTAAAATGTTTTTAATCAGAAGACCTCTTCAGCTGATCTCATTCTATGTTGGTGTCCCCTCCCATAAAGTGAGATGTTTTATTTGTTCTTATACATTATTAAAGGTATTAATCTTTTTTTTTTTTTCCTCCATGGTTTTCCTTTCAAAGGTTCATGAGTCTTTCTACAAGTACCTCAAACCTCTTCAGGCCAAGCTGTGATTCACCACAAAACACAGGAACACTGGACCAGCAGCACTTGTATAACTGGTTTTCTTAGCAAATTTTTTTTTTTTTTTTTTTTTTTTTTTTTTTGATCTCCACAAATTTTATGTTGATCTTTTTGATAGGAAAAGTATGGAAACAAAGTTTTAGTGTCTGCAACCTTCACCTACTACTACTACTTCTGTATGTCTGTAGATATAAAGTGGAACTAAACCCAACAATGTAATGGTTTACCAAAATGTGAGTGATATGCTGTGAATAACTGTCACATATGCTTGCGCTCCCAACCGAACTGTCAAACGATCAAATGGCTGCTGTCCTAAATGACCACGTGTAGCAATATGGCAACTGCAGGTCAAACACAGGCTAAGATATTGGCGCTTTTGGTTGTAAAGAATAGGAGGGGTTAGTTCAACTTTAATTTTCAGTGGCCATATAGACCAACTTAGTACTGTGGAAAGCTCTCCCGATCCTCTGCAACTCAAGATTTTGCATACTGAAAAATAACTTCACGGTTAAATTTCTCAAAACTACCTGTTGCCTGAAAAAGGATCCTAATTAACCATTACATTCCAAGAATTCCTTTTTGTTGTTTTGTTTTGAACAGAATGTACAAGATTATATTCTAAAATATTTTTAATGTTCTCTTTAGATAATAATTGTAACATTTGCTCTGGGTTCTATACTCTTACAGAACATATTGCTAATGGATGCAGAATGTAAAGGGATTTTAAAATGACTACCTAAGCAACAGGCATGGAAAGAGAAGTGCGATTAATACATAAATGATATATGCACTTAACAATACATATGAGTAATTTCTTATCTTGTTTCCTGTGTGTTTATTTGCTGTGAGTGTGAACATGTTGTACACATTTGCGTTTTCACTATGTTGTGTTTGGATACTAGTGACGTCTCTACTGATCATCTATAGCAGGGGTCTCTGAACTATGGCCCTCCCAGGTGTTAAACTGCAAGTCACATGGGGCCTTGCAAGACTCTGACAGCCACAGGCAAGACTCCCAGAGGCAGCGGGATGATGGGACTTGTAGTACTTCAACAGCTGGAGGGCCATAGTTTGGAGACCCCTGATCTATAGTGAGCCTATACCAAATCTGTATGCCCCTTCCACACCAGCTGCTTTCCAAGCTGTAACATGAATCATAGGTATACTACAGGTACCATATTACTAGAGGGCAGGAGCTGGCACACATACTGAAAACGGACATCTACTTCATTCCCAGTAACTGCATATTAAAAAAATACATTAGTGTTATTGGATACTGATGTATGCAGTACCTTTTGTACAGAAGATAAATTAGGATGAAAATGATCCGGAGAAGATTTAGGTGCTGTTTTTTAAAGAGCATTACATTTGGTTTTTGAATGAGAAATCTTTTGAGATTACAGAAGCCCCCAGCACTGGAGTTCAAGGGTTAGTTAGCATTGACTAGGCTCCATGTCCTACGTTGCTTCTCTACTGGTTGGATAATGTCATGATCAGAACTGTGCAGACACCACCAGCCAGGAGATCACTCTGTTCAGCAGTGGTTAAAGTGGAACTTTACCCATGCCAACTTGATAAAAAATGTTCTTTAGTAAGGAACATACTGTACATTCTTTATTAATTATGCTACCTAAATTTGGTGTGTACTTTAAATTGCCTCCAGCATTGATCTGGTTTCTTCTTGCTGGAGGCTGCCATCTTGTTAAAACCTAGAGCAGCAGTAAATCTTTAGGCTGTCCACAGATTGGCCTCTACATTTTTCGCACAATGCAGGGAAAGACAGTGTATTACTGGATTTTAAACACTACTGGCATTTATTTTTAATGTTATATAGCTATACCTGCAAAAGAAGACACCCTGAAGTGATCTAGCAGGACTTAATTTTCTGACTAAAGTTCCACTTTAAGACATATTGTCTGTGCTGAAACATTCTCCTTTCTAGTGTCTGGAATCCACTGCATCCACAGTAGATCAGTCCACTCAATAGCCATGTTAAACCCAAAACCAAAAATGTAATATACTGCAGCTTTCCAATCATTTAGATGTGGTGGCTGCATTAGTTTTCATTTTTTTCTGCTTTCCTTTCTTTCCCCACACTGTTTTCACCTGGTGATCTGGCCAGTAACACACCTCCTGTGTTAGTGCCCCCACTCTGGATGAAGGCGCACAGGGACACCTTCGGACAGCAGCTTTGTCAGGCTTTTTAGATGTACTAGCAGATTTAGATACACGAACAAATTGAAGTAAAACTTCAGCTCACACTGCAGTTAAAGCAACAGTTTTTTGGGGGGGTTAAAGGTTTTACATAAATACAATCAGATCATTGTAAGCACCCTGCCAGTGTTAAATGGTTTGTCTCAGAATTATCTGCTACGTTTGCATTGGAGCTTGTTTTGTTGAAAAACAGACTTGCTGGGCAGATCACCAGATGAAAAAAGAAATCCCAAGAAAGAAAACAAAGACATCACACCTATGAATTGGTAAACTGTAGTAGAAGTGGTTTTGAGTTTAATACTGCTTTAAGATACATGAGCTGATGTACTCTGCATTCAGCACCAGGCACCCCACTGCACTCTATACATGGCTCCCTACCTGCATGCAGGTCTTCCCATTGCAGGGGCAGTTTACAGCAAGCTGTAATCTGATTTTTCAACTTTGCATTTGCTTGTGTCTTTGATGTTTACAGTATACACAACATTTAAATGCAAATACACAGTATATTGGTACTGTATATCAATTCATATGTTTAATAAATTGTAAAGATAGATATACATTATATTTACCAAGTATTGGTCTGCCTGTCTTTACACGCACACAAACTTTAATGGCATCCCTGTCTTAGTCTGCAGGGTTCAATATTGAGTTGGCCCCACCCTTTGCAGCTTTAGCAGCTTCAACTCTTCTGGGAAAGCTGTCCACAAGGTTTAGGAGGGTGTCTATGGGAAGGTTGGACCATTCTTCCAGAAGCACATTTGTGAGGTCAGGTACTGATGTCAGACAAGAAGGCCTGGCTCGCAGTCTCCGCTCTAATTCATCACAAAGGTGTTCTATCGGGTTGAGGTCAGGACTCTGTGTAGACCAGTCAAGTTCCTCTACCCCAAATTTGTGTACTGGTGCGCAGTCCTGTTGGAACAGGAAGGGGCAATCCCCAAACTGTTCCCACAAAGTTGGGAGCATGAAATTGTCCAAAATATCTTGGTATGCTGATGCCTTAAGAAAGAGTTCCGTTCCCTGGAACTAAGGGGCCAAGCCCAACCCCTGAAAGACAACCACACACCATAATCCCCCCTCCACCAAACTTTACTCTTGGGACAGTGCAGTCAGGCAAGTACCGTTCTTGCAGCTGCCAAACCCAGACACATCCACCGGATTGCCAGACAGAGAAGCATGATTTGTCATTACAGAGAACACATCTCCACTGCTCTAGAGTCCAGTGGTGACATGCTTTATACCACTGCATCCAACGCTTTGCACTTGGTGAAGTAAGGCTTGGATGCAGCTGCTCAGCCATGAAAACCCATTCCATGAAGATCTCTATGCACTGTTGTGCTAATCTGAAGGCCACACGAAGTTTGGAGGTCTTTAGCTATTGACTCTGGTGACAGTTGACGACTTCTGTGCGCTTTAGCATGTGCTGACCCTGCTATGTCATCTTACATGGCCTACCACTTGGTGGCTGAGTTGCTGTTATTCCCATAGAAATAAAATATGCAGCGCTTTTAAAATTAAAATTAAAATATGAACAAGCAGAAAATCAGAACATGAACAGCATAACTGCATGACAAACTCAGTCCATATTGCATGGTGCGATAAAGTGATAGGTGCAATTGTCCCAATAATCCATGTTCAGAGAAATTCGTGACTCTTGTGATCTCGTGATTTGTACAAAAAATGCACTAACCAGATAGCGCAATAAATGCGCATGGAGCAATTAAGACCCGCTCCTGGTGCTCTGGACTTGTAATATTAGGAGGATGTCATCTGCAGGTTTGGCCACCAGATGTCATCAATCCAGGTATATTGGTAAGTCATCCACCAGAGAGATCATCAGCGGGGGAGGGGGTGATCATACATCATTCCCAAACAGGCGTAACCTTCAAAAACGGGCTCCCATACAATAGATGAGACCCAGAGAAGCCTCTGATAGTGTAGTATGTCTTTAATAGGTAAAACTTACACCAAGTACAATTGAAGGAAAAAACTTACATCAAAGCAAAGTCTGGCCACCAGGGCGTCAGTCAGGATGGCCTTGTGGTATGGATACAAAAGGTCAGGGGCACCTCCCTAACGCGTTTCGTGTGAAAACACTTCCTCAGAGGGAGTGTTTTCACACGAAACGCGTTAGGGAGGTGCCCTGACCTTTTGTATCCATACCACAAGGCCATCCTGACTGACGCCCTGGTGGCCAGACTTTGCTTTGATGTAAGTTTTTTCCTTCAATTGTACTTGGTGTAAGTTTTACCTATTAAAGACATACTACACTATCAGAGGCTTCTCTGGGTCTCATCTATTGTATGGGAGCCCGTTTTTGAAGGTTACGCCTGTTTGGGAATGATGTATGATCACCCCCTCCCCGCTGATGATCTCTCTGGTGGATGACTTACCAATATACCTGGATTGATGACATCTGGTGGCCAAACCTGCAGATGACATCCTCCTAATATTACAAGTCCAGAGCACCAGGAGCGGGTCTTAATTGCTCCATGCGCATTTATTGCGCTATCTGGTTAGTGCATTTTTTGTACAAATCACGAGATCACAAGAGTCACGAATTTCTCTGAACATGGATTATTGGGACAATTGCACCTATCACTTTATCGCACCATGCAATATGGACTGAGTTTGTCATGCAGTTATGCTGTTCATGTTCTGATTTTCTGCTTGTTCATATTTTAATTTTAATTTTAAAAGCGCTGCATATTTTATTTCTATGTTTCTATCTGGGTCCCAAGGTTACCTTTTATGCTAGCTGCTTCACTTACATGTTCCC